GAGAACTGGCGACTTTGTAGTACAACTTTAGTACGCGGAGCAATCTGTGGGGCTGGAAGCTGAGAACTGGCGACTTGGTAGTACAACTTTAGTACGCGGCTGAGTCATCCCTCGCGGCGGCTCTGGCGCCCCTGCAGCTGAGTCATGTCTCCCGACCGCCCGGCTCTCTTGAGAGGTCGACAAATTTTAGCTACTTTGCTTACTCAAAAGTGGTCATTTCGATTACTTTCTGGAGACCTCAAAACACGTGTTTTGAGAGGTTGACAAATTTGAGCTAATTAGCTTCGTGTCTAGACAAGCTATCACATCATAGTTAACGTCTAGCTCCAGTTAGCTTTAGTGGAGCTAGAGCTAGAGCTGTGCTTCGCTCATCACTCATCACTCATGCGTCTGACTGAGGGACACGAGGGACACGCACGGTGGAAACAACCGGGACACTCGTATAGGTCAATTTGTTGTTCTTGTAGGAAACTTCCGCCGCCGGCTTGCCCGGGAACTACTTGTAATGCATTGTTTTGGACAAGGAGGATCGTGTTTCGGACAAGCATTCGCATTCACAAACAGTGTTGTGGGTGGGTCTGATCTTAGACGCGCTGTGTTCAATCGCGCGCTATAGCAGCAAGGCTGCGAAAGATTCGCGAGGACCATCGGCAAAGAGGATGTGATTTCATTAGATGAGGAACCGCAAACAGAGGGATGAAAACATGTTTTAGGACCGGAGAGCAGAAAGAAAGCGATTGCAAGGTATTGCCTCTACTTCAAGCCGTGGATGAGCATCAATGCTGACCTGCAAGTGCCACTCGGCCATTTCTGAAGCGTCGCTCGTCATACAAAAAAACAGGCTTTGTTTGTTTGGCTCTCCATTTGAACGATAACCTTTACCATGTACCCGGCACTTTTTTGGTGGAGCCGGAGCTTGAAAGTTTCGAAACACGTAGAAACCACAGGAAGTGGTGGCTTGTGATGACTCCGTGGCACCGTGGCAATCATGTCATTGACTCTGATGCGGCGAGTTGGGATATGGTGACATGATGTGATGGGCGCTGGTGATTTGTCATGCCTTGTTTTTGCCTTTCGGCGCGCTAGTCGTTGCGACTGTTGCCCGGCCGCACCGCTGTGCATAGAAGTGAGGGCGCCCAAGAAGCAGGGCAATTGTTTCAGGGGAGGCATCCGTCGAAGTAGACCCCAAGGAATCTCGGCCCAAACCCATGCCAGAACAAGGTGGGCAAGGATTGGCAGTGAGGCGGTGTTTAGTTGCGTCACATCGACGCCAGAATAACTCGGTGTTGGCCGCCGTTCCACTGGCAATTCCGACTTGGCCTCCTCACCAAGAGGGCTGGCGGTGACTTCCAAGTCGGTTCTCTCCGCGTCTCACTGGCCCCTGGCCCCATCCCCCCACGTGAAGGGAAAGTACGTGTCGACCTTGCCACACCATTTCCAGTTGACGCCCGAGACAGCATTTGTTAAGAGTTCCCGGGTCCTTAAGATCTGTATCGCCGGCGCAAGTCACAACGGCTGGGCGCATGCCGTTGCGACACAATCAGCCCAGCGAAGCGGCGTGCGCTGGTACTTACCTGCAGCCAAAGTCCCCATCACTGCGACCTGAATCCTCACCGATGAGTTTTGCCAGGAAGTGCTCCCATCCGCGAAACCGCTGGGGATCTTTCTGGCTGCGCCAGTCACGCTGCCACTTTGGCTTTGATTCTGCCTTGGCCTTGGCTCCTGTTGGGTGATCTCCCGCAGAACATCTCTTGTGTGGCGTTGCAGGCATGGCAGTCTTCCTTTGGCTTCTGCGAAATTCCTTCTTTTTGCTCGTGGGCAACACCGGTCAGAGCTGGCAATGATTTCTCATTGCTTCGCATGCAGCCGGATGATGCCACGCTCGTTTGGATTCGACCTGAGCGGTCTTGTATAGCCCCCCCGATCTCATTTCATCTGGCTGCCCGGCGGGGATGGCCTCGTCAAAGACAACTTCATCGTCTGATTCATCGGGCTGGTCTACTTTCTGAATTGCTTGCTCAACTGCGTCCTCAATGTGCAGCTCTAACATTTGATTGATGTAGGTCTCATCGTCAACAACCTCGTTCAAGACGAGCGTCCTCTTCCGTGACAAGTAGGGGATTCCCCTTAGCTGCCTTAGCTCACACGGCAGAATATTCGAGTGCAAATTTCTGCCTTTAAATTTTTCTGATCGGCAATCTCTTCCCGGCGGCGTTGCCTGTGAAGGTTGGCTGAAAGCGTCATCAATCTCAATCGCCGAAGCAAAATCTCGAATGAGACCATGGTTGTCGACCCAGAAGTATGGAAAATTCAAGTGCTCATTCCTCTTTGATTGGCGCTTGGTGAGTGGCGCTCTTCAGGTCACACGTTTTCGCCAAAACTGTAGAATCCAAGCCGTTCTAGCGGATAACAAACTCTCGTGTATCTACCGCGCAAGTATCAGCCAACCCTATGCAAAAGTTTCTTGCAGCTGGAAAATCATCTATCACTGTGATTTTTTGCCGTTGTTGCAACGGTCACCTCCATGATGTCAGCTCCTTCTGAAAGCACGAAAGGTCCTTCTGCACGACCTCTTGCGGTCTCTTCCCGGGTCTCTTCCAGAACGCGGCAGTCAAGCTCCTCATCGCCACAGGAAGCTGTTATGTCCACAATGGCCCTGTTTCTGCGATAGTATCCGCGCATTAACTGCTTTGACTGTCTTCTCTCGATGTTGAGTGTCTGTACATCAGAGTACCTGTGCCCAACGTCGTGCAAGATCTTCTTGGATTTACAATAGTATTCGCTTGGAAGTGGGCAGGTCTTTTCACCACGTCAGCTTTTTTCATTGGAAGCCAACTCAGACGCTCAGGCCTACCACTCTCGACGCCAAGCCATTCGATAGTTTGCCGTCCAATTCCAAACGCTATTCCACTACATTGCTTTGTTGAATGAACTGCTCTTATTCCCAACACGAGGACCAATTCGACGGCTTGTAGCAAGGCGTCTACAGGCTCGCTCTCTTGACCTGCTGAGACGAGGACAACAAAGGCAAGGCCCCAGATCCACGCAGAAAAGACAAGCTCATTGCACACATTGCTTGTGACACCAAATGTGAGTTGGACTTTTGTGATCTTGCAGCTCCACACATTGACTTCAGGCAGTCGGATTTCATAATATGCTCATTGATAAAAGGCAGCGCGCTTCAAACACGCAACCCCTGAAATTGTAGCAGTTCAATTTTGGAAACACGGTCGCGCTATACCGTTCTATTTGCATTTCATGGCTGCGATGCCTGCCTTGCACGCGCAAAGTGAGTGGAAGGACCCGCCACCTTATTCTGTTAAAGTCATATGGCGACGGTATTACGCACACTACCATGGAGGTGAATGGAGGTGCAGCTTGTTATGTCAATGTTACATAGCCTACAGTTAGTTTTCCTTGCTGCGTATGACCAACTACTACCCCGCACAACCACTATAGCGACGCGTCCGCGCTGACAGGCTGGCTCTCGTCAACCCCCGGGGCCGCAAGTCTCAATGTCGAGGTCACTCAGGGCCGCGCCTGCCACAAAGCATGCACGTTGACGCCCGCCAAATGTCGCGCTGTCACGAAATGTGCACTTCGGAGCCCGCAAAGCGTTTATAGACTAGAGAATACAAACGAAGAGGACACTTTAGGACTTTAGGACCATCAAAAGACTGATACCTTCAAGTAAAATCTGTAACAACGCAAACGGCATCGCGCGAACGGCTATCATGGTGGGACGGCGCCGAAAAAGCAACCCCGATACCTTTTGCTTTGGCCTTCAACGGCCTTCATACGCGCGTTGCGTCCGTGTGTCTGCAACTTGCAAAGTTCTTCACCAAAGCTCCTTTGATAAGTGTTCGATTATGCCTACCCCAAAGCACATTTTCAGAGCAGCACCAAGCTCTGTATGCTACAAATCATTGTCGTGGCTCAGGGAAAAAGGGTCTGAGTCAGCAGCTCTTGACTTATTTTCATTGCCTAAGCCTCAAATTTTCTACAGGTTATCAGCCGTAGCCTTTGCCACTTCCAACTCATACAGAACAATATCTAACCGCCGTGAAGCGGGGAAGACGGCATTGAGGGGTCACGCAGTCAACAGTTAGTGTCTTAAGCAGCCACAGCTTGAGATGCGTGAAGTTTGTGAAGCAGGTTGGTGAACTGCAAGCGCGTTGCGTCATTGGAGAGTTAACTAGCTGAAAGCCAGGCTAAAGTTGCCAACGCTGAACAGCTATATCAACAGAAGATGGCGCTGCAAAAGTGAGCTGAGGAGCCACACCAGGTCAAGATGAGCGAGAAGTTCGAGGAGCTCAAATAGATATTCGACAAAATGGTCGATGATGCTTCTGACAAAGCTCGCGGCTTGGTATTGGAAGAAAGGAAACAACAGCAAGAAATGGAGACCGAGTGGCGTGAACAGGAAGCCACACTCGAAGAAGAACTCCGAAAAGCATTAGAAACAAACGAGTTGCTACAAGAACAGCTTGATGAGCTAACCGTCCATCGAGCAACGGAGCCAGCGCTTCAGCAGCCAGGGCCAACTGCGCCTGCGCGGACGGAGCACGTTGGCCGCGAGGTCGGGCCCAAAGCCGATAAGACGTCCATTGACTGGAAGGCGAGGCTTGATGCAGAATTCGCTGCGAAGCGAAGTTAGAAGGCACCTTCTTCCGGCGCGACTTTCGATTGGCTTTAGAATTTCCAGGCGGCGATACCGGTTTGGACAGGAACTGCTCATGGACGCTCGTGGGCACCAGATAATAAGGGTTCTGCGCTATAGGTGATGGCGCAGCTGATGGCAAAGTCCCAACTGGACTGTACTACCGCAGGCAACGCCTTCCATCGTTAGCGGGATCTTGAATCGCAAGGAGGAGCGGCCAAGAAGGGGAATCAAACCAGGGGCAGAACTGCGCTTCTAATATGTTTGATGTTTGATGACTTTATAGAGGACTTACGCAAAGCAGCTAAGTTTGGCGGCGCCGTTGCTACTTTGAAGAAACTCATCAATCGTTGGGACGCTGTGGTGGCCGGGGTGAAAAAGGTGAAGAAGATCAATGCTCGCGGCCATTGCAATAAAGTAGCGCATTGGCACAGAAAGTCCGAGCAAGTCTTTGCCACAATATCCGGCCCCATTCATGTGTTGAACAAGGAATGCGCGCCAAAGTTGCAGGAAGCAGTGAAGCTGTTCGATTAAAAGGTTCAGCCAAGTTGCGGTTTCAGCTGTGTTGAGAGTCAAGAAAGCCTCACTTGCAAGCGCTGGAGGCAACTACTAGCCCCTTGCAAGATCAACGCTGCCGCGATGCTGCCTTCATGGCCCGCGCCTGCAGATCGCCACCAACGGTTGATCGACTCTGGGAGCGAAGACGATCTCATTAGTGAATCAGTGATTACCCAGGTAGGAGCGTACAATAGGCGAAGCGCAGGCCACCCAATCGAATTCATTACTGTTAATGGATCACAGAATCCAACTTGCAGAGATTGATCTCCACACCTTCAATCCCAATCACATCATATGTTTTGGAACAAACTCCATCGGTTCTTTCGGGTGGTGCGCGATGTATGGACCAGGGCTACAGCCTCGTGTGTCCAGCAGGCAGGATTTTTCCCTGTTCGTCCTGATGCCTAAGCCATTGTCCAGCCAAACTCCGCAAGGTTTTAGCTGGCCCGGTGTATCCAAAGCAGTGAGGCATGAGGAGGAAAGAGTTGATGAAGGTGTGAACCCCAATGACGCAGAAGTTATATAGCTGCGAGGAGCAAGAAAATACTGCTGACCTCATCGTCCAAGCCCTGTCGTCTTGCGCTTTCCGAAAATCCATATAGCCGAACCTGCCAGAGAGGAAGGATGTTAGCGCCCGATGCCAGATCCAAGGGCGGCTAAGCCAGGGTTGAAACTGAAGAGTCGAAGACGGTCTGAAGGGCGAGGAAAAGGACTTGCAACCAACCACTTTGCAAACAACAAAGATGAAGTTGAAGTGATCTAGGCTATAGGCATCAAACTTCAATCGAACACACCGACTCGAGCAAATCGTTCTGTTGGAGGCCGCCAGGTCCAGCCTTGTTCAAGCGGGGGTGCCTTTGACTATGTGGCCCATGGCGACGCAGCATTTTGCTAGGGCAGTCAACGGAAGCCCTTGGTCGCTTAGGTACGGTGACAAGTTCACTGGAACGCTGGTTCCATTCGGGGCGAAGATTCTATTTTGGAACAGCCCTGATCGCGCGGACAAAGCGTGAAAGCTTCCACCAACCTCAACTGAGGGAATGTTTTTTGGGGCACCGCATTCAGCCAGGCTTCGTGTGGAGAGGGGAAATAGTTAGTCGCAATAAAGCTTGAAGCAATCGACTATTACATCACCTGAAAGCAAAGGCCGACAGTCTTGAACCACGGCGAACAGACTTCCACAGGGGGAGGAGTTAGAAGCCGACCCACCGCCTCTTGGTGAGGGGCCATCCGTGGACGTCAAGCTGACAAACCAAGTGAGATAACGCCGGACGGGCCTACAGTGCTTGATGGTTACCATTACGAAGGTGCCAGACTGGTGAAAACCTACAAAGGTTCAAAGAGGCCGCGTGGCATCCCACCGGAACTTTGGAAAATGATCGGTCCGAAACAAGGGGAAATAACCATCCGGGAGGAAGAGCAAAAGCAAAAGGAGAACCCCACAAGTTCCGCTTCAATAGCCGCCACATCGCTCCAGTCAAACGGTATAGCCAAAAGGAAGATTTTGCGTCAAGAACAATAGGACAAGAGCAAAATCAAGAATATGCGGCTCCCTGTATGCCTTAGGACCAGGGGGGTGGTCAAGGAGACTCACCCGTCAGCCACTCGCTGCTCATTCAAAGCCACATCAAACGCTTAGAATTCAAACAGGGCATGGAGGTGTGGGCCGCTGTTGCTAGACTTGTTTCCAAAGAAGAGGATGCGAGAACGCCAAACGCACAAGCAGCGCTTGATCTCGAATGGAACCAGGAATGTGGGACGAGAAGCACGTGAAGGAACTTCACAGGATCGCGCGCGAGCGCGGAGAGAAGGTTGGTTCGCTTGGGCCAGAGCGAGAAGGAAATTCAAGGGCAGGTCATCCTTTTCGCTTCGCAGAGCTTGGCTCTGGCCCAGCATTCTCGATGCTTTTGAAAGAACAGGCCGATGCTGTCCAAGCTTATGTTCAAGCCACGGCATTCCTACCCGGCTGGAGATGCCCGACAATAGATGGCCACAAGACTGGGAAGAGATTTATTGGAAGCCAATGTCCCAATGGTACTTGCTTGCATGGCCACCCCGATACTGGGTGGGAACAACTAACATTTCAACTCCAGTCTTGCCAAAAAGGATGGCAGCAGATCTTGCCCGAGATGTCGCAACCCATACGTCGATGACTCTAGCCTGGGGCCTGGGATGCATGGGCAGGCGTTGTTGGCTCAGCAGTCGATCTAGGAACAGACTGTTCCACGGAGGCCGAGTAGTTGCTGCAAACCACGTCTGCCGACATTTGCCCTAGTCGAGCAGCTCACATTGTGCAAGCAGGCGAGTGAACTCGTCAACGCCAAAGACATCATGTCTAATCCGAATTGTCCTGCTTCAGTTTGCTGTTCCAGCCATTCAAAGGAAACGCTTTGGGCCCTGTTGGGGTGTCACATAGGTTGTGAATGACCAGTCGACAGTATGGTAACAGTCGCTAGATTGTCTTCCATAAACTTCACCCTGGCTGGCTTTCGATCCTGATTCCACGTCGATCTCCGGATCAAGCGCAGTGAATGTCCCCTCTTGCTTGGGCATCGGCGCGCTGATTGCGTGCCAAGACCACACAGCTGCTGACTTGCGGCATGATCGAGCCGAATGACCGTCAGGACATGGAAGAGGCAATGAGACTCTAACATCGCCCAGCAACCCATTAGGCCGAGCAAGCGAGGTGAAAGAGCGATCGGGCATTTCAGCGCCGCGGCAGCGACCTCCTGAGCTGTTGCACAGGTCCTTGTGCCAGAGGCTGAAGCCTCTCCTTACAGCATCTGGGGTGAACATCAATGGCATCGTGACCTCTTAAGGCGCCACCGGTTACCAAGGCAGCATCTGCGCGAGATGCTCATGAAGTAGTGGACCGCTCAGCTCGTGCTGCAGCCCAGGGCTACACAACGTGCCTGATGAACAGCGATGGAGGCGCTATGTCCCCTGGCAAACCGAGGGGAACGGTGGACTTGTGGAGCCAATGGGCAGTAGCATAAGTACCGCGGTGTGCATAATTTGTATCAAGTTGGCGCGTCGCTAGCCTCAAAGTCATGTGGCTCAGAGGAAAAAGGTCTCAGTAGCTGCATAGCGTAACAGCATCTTGACTTATTTTCACTGGGTGAGCCTGAAAATACGAGAACGCTTTCCATAGATCTTCAAGTCGAAGAGGGTAGTGTCCTTAGGGTGTGGCTAGGCTGGTGTCGGTCCCAATGGAACCAAACAGCGATCTGCCTGATTCTAGGGATTGGTCGGATTGGTCCATGGCTTCTAAAGTTGTGTTCCATTGTTGTTGGCAAAGCAACCCAGTGGCTGATCTAAGCGTGCTTGCAAGAATTTCACGATGTCCGCATCAAGATCTTGCTCATAAATGTCACTCTTTTAACCCTTTCTGAAGTATACACTTTGCTTGGAAGGCAGAGGCAAAGGGCATGTATCCAATGTCAGGTCGCGCATTTTTGCGCCAAGGTCCCCGTACTTGAATTTCCAGGAAAAACAGATGCAGTGCCACAAGGCCACTCTGACGGGTGACTTGAATGCTGCGATTCTGCAGGGAGACTAACCTTGGCAACTGATATGAAGCGAAGCAGTGAAGCATTCAGCAGAATTCTGTTTGCAAGGATTGACCGGCGCAGGATGAATCGCGCAAAGCACAAGCGATCCAATTCAACTGGCAGTGCTTTGCAGACATCACATAGTTTTAACGGCTGCCATTTTGAAAAAAATGTTACAGATCCAGATTCTATGGGTCAATTCTGGAGTGCGCCAGGGGTGCCGGCAACATGATGTGGCGAATTCGCATTGCCATGAACTTACAACTGGTTTACAAACACTATCGGACACAAACCCCGTTCCAAAATGCACAAATAAGATTATCAGCATCTCAGCTCTCTGCAGAGGCCAGCAGTAGGTTTTGTGCACCCTGGTGAACGCCAAGGCCTTCAACAATGCTTGCCACAGAAGCAAAAGTGTATTGATTCGCAATGCGACATGGACTCTGAGTCTTTTGAGTTTGCCGCTTGCGCAGCTCACCAGCAGTCAGACCGCGCTATTGGCGCAAGAAACAGTTGTCGTTTTTTGTCAGCGCTGAATCCACAATTGTTTGAAAGGACCAGCTCTGTGACGAGGATGTCTCCACTTTGTGTCCCTTAAACAAACAGGCTGCAGTCACGCAAGCAAGAAACTAGCCATAGGAATGGTTCTGCTTGTTAGCCACAAATTCAAGTCCACTGTATCCGTTACAATACCTAAAGGTTGTGCGGGGTGCTGCGTCTTTTGTTTTTGACGCTTGATTGCACATTGAACGCGTCCAAATCTCGGTTTCGTGCGAATTTTGGAGTGCCAAACCAACAAATATATTTTCACCTCACAACAAAAAGTGAATTCGACAAAACAATAGTGTTTCGGCCCTTTTCAAGTGCCATGTGGTCATTTTGACCTGCACCCTCGCACGCCCATCCGAAGCGCCCCAAATGGAAGTTATAATCCGTCTGGAATTGCCTAGGCATTGAAGTGCCATGCCTCCGAGTGTGAAGCAAAGTGCTCTAGCAGCGGCCAACGGGCCTCGCAGTGCCATTTGTCCTGTACACCAGACCTGAGGACATGGCGGGTCATACCTATCTTGCTTTTATCAAAGCGCAACGCTTGCTTCTTCTTCTTCTTCCTCCTCCTCCTTCTTTCTTCTTTCTTCCTTCTTCTTTAATTGCTGCTGGTTGAGGACCCTGCCAGAGGACCCAGCTTGCGTCAAGGAATGTGAGGCGAAGCACGATGCTTCTTGCATGGTCCTTGCCCAAGAACAATCAACAATGCGATTATGAGGCTGTGATGTGTTGCAAGGTTTTTGGGCAAGAAAAAGAAAAATAGCTCTTTGTTTTCTGTAGGACTTTGGCACCTTGAAAAGAAAGCAGATGTAAACTGACCTCGATGCAGGATTATATACACGAAGAAGTGTGGTGTCATTGCTAAGATCTTTGGCCAAGGCTGGGTGCGCTGAGCTCACCAAGCAATGCCTGGACAGCGAGTGCATTGGCAGAAGCCACCAGGACAACGGAATCGAATGATATCCCACAGCAACTTTAAAGAATCAATGTCCTTCACAACTAGGTTCTCGCAATCCTTCTGTTTGCATCCCTGATCTTTTAAATGTGAGCGTGCGTTCCAGCCCTTTTCCTGCCGCTGTTCAATCTGCGCTTTTGCTACCACATGGGCATTGGACATATACCCTTGTAGAATCGTGATTCCAGATTAGCCACAATGTCGTGGAGCCTACGTATTTTTGCTATCATCATTTCATGGGGCTGTTTACATAGTTGATCAAGAGATGTGGTTGAAAGAACGGCTTTTATGTTGTTGGCAAATGGTGTTGTCGAGTTGCGCAAAGGATCCGCGAAAGACCCAACTTATATAAATGATAGTCTTGGGCTTCGAAAAGCCGCTGAACTTGGGACATGGTTTCGTAAAATTCTTCGCGAAGGCTTGGGCGCATGTCAAAGCCATAGCCTAGCTCAGTGTAGCCTCCACGGACCGCAGACAAAAACACAGGGAATGTTTAGCCTTGCGCAGAATGCTTTTGTACTCTCGCGCAAGGACCAGGACAAGAATATGGGCAGCCCTTGCTATGTAAATGTTTAGTTTATAGGGGACTTGAAAAAATATCAATTCGCATTTTAAGAAACTCAAGCAACGGAAATCACATGGGTCCTGCACTGCACGCCAGCCTTCCGTTGCAGTTTGGCCGCTTCGTGGGCTTGGGGAGCCGGCTGCTGTAGACAAGCCGAGCGCTTGCCATTGCGGGTGCACCTGCGTCACGGGTGGGAACCACTTTCCAGTGCTGATCTTGATGACCGCGCTTGCGGTGCTACTTGGTTCTAGCCTAGGGGAAAGAAAGGATCGGGAGGTTCCTCCGCTTTGGCATGCGAGAGTGGCCTCCGACTATGACTGATATGTTGAACAGATGGATCACCTCGATGGAGATTTCACGGGGTTCGTTCTTTGCGGAGCTCTGGACTGATCTACCCCTGCCCTGCTGCAGCGCCCGCCCCGCTTCTTTGCCAGTTGCGCTTGGCGCTGGCGCTGGAGGCATCGCGGCTACAGGTGTGCTGAACTGGGCGGAGGCTACAGAAAAGGGAGATGGTGAGACCGGGGCCTTGCGTGCGCGCCATGATCAGCTATATAAAGACCCAGGGAGCCCTACCGATCCATGCTCAAAAGCATGCACTCGTTCCAAAAAAACGTTTCGTTGTCTCAAACTGGACGACGCCACCAATGACATTGTGACCCTCAGGGCATTCGGAGAATTGACTTTGCCAAGAGTTGCTCTCACTGGTCAAGGTGGTGGTTGGAGCCACTGCCACTGCCCTCAACATTGTGAAGGGACTTGGACCAGTCAATTGTCAACGACCTCAACATCATATCATGAGTTTTGGCGCCGCAGTGACAAATTTCCTCGAGGCGATCGATCGACATACGTGCATGGGTGCTTTTCAAGGCTCATCGAAGCCTTCATCACTGTCGATCAATTTGAACGTCTGCCTGCGCGTCACAAACTCGAGCTGAAGGCTTCAAGTGATTCAAGAAGCCCATCGAATCAGCCCAGCAGCGCAGACTATTACAAGGGGTTGGTGATGGCGGAAAAATTTAATAGTTATATTATATAGTGTATTTAATTAAGGGTGGTGCCATGATTCTCAAGGAGGCCACTGCACCTCCGACGGGTCTCTGGGCCAAACATCGATGGTCTGGCGGCAGCGACCTGCCAAGTTCGATTACCTGAAGTCTACAGTCTACAGTGGCATGAGCGGCTTTTCCCAACATCCTTGAGGAACCAGTGACGACCTCTTGTCCAATTGCCATGGGTCCAAAGCCTGAGCAACGTCGACGGGTGAATCGCCGCTCTCAGGCATCTCGCTTATATGGGCGGACCGTCCAAAAGTCTATGGTTTTCGTGGCCATAGTTGACCTCATGTTGCAGAGGCTCCTCAACAGGCTCAGGCATACTGCATGAACGGCCAGGTCGAGGAAGCCTAGCTGAAAAGAAGGTGAGTTTGCAATCGCCTCCATCAACGTAGGTTGTCTATGGTTGTCTCGAGGCTTCGAGATACTGATTAGCCTGAGGGTGCGTGAAGAGCTGGATGCGTGTGATTTTGGGCAGAGTTTAGGATTTGTTTTGGGTGGCGCCAGAACGATTTGAGAAAGTTCCAATATACGCTTCGATGGATGGCCGGGCAACCTAACTTATAAAGTTTTGGTTAGGCAAGTCGAGCGTGTCCTTGGACACTGCATTCACTTCATGCCCCTGCGACGTGAGCTGCTGTCAATCGTTCGAAGCCTCCGATCTACGACTTCGCGCAAGGGTCATAACAAGGAAGAGGGCGCTGTTCGCTTCAGCAGCCAAGGAGGCAAGGGGCCCTGAGGGTTGCTGGGGCTGCGCAGTGTAGATTTGAAGAAGCCATGTACTAACATCCTGACCGCCAGTGATTCATCTCTGTCGCGAACCCACAGAATGCTGCGCTTGAGTGCGGTGACACTTTTTAAGAGCCTTTTGATTGTTTCGGTACACACGCAACATTCTGACCACATCGCACTCTTGGAAGTTGGAAGCGCACTTTTTTGCAACTTTGAGACACAAATTCTGCGCAAGACGCCAGCTTGGACACAAGCGCCTTCATTTTTGCAACAACGCGTCTATCACTTCGATGATCCCAATGCGGCGCTTTCTATATCGCGCACCTGAATTAAATGTGGTTGCTCCCATCTCGTCGAAGAGAAGGCTCGATTGGAAGAGACCAACGGGGCATGCCACCTTGATCAGGCCCGAAGCTGCTCAAAAAAATTGCACGCGAGATGGGGAGCCGGCTGTGCGATTGCTCCGGGTCAAAGTGAGGTGGGGAGGTTGGCGAAAGGCGATAGTACGTTGCGATGTGGAAAGGGTGAAGCCCAGTAGAGTGTCGTCAGGGACGAACTCCATTTCCAGCGGCCTGCCGTAGAAGAAAGGTTGAGCAATGGATTGGAAAGAATCCGTATGAAGCATATGTGTGGGTCCGAGGAAGAAGACGTTGTCGACATAGCGTGCTCGAATTGCCAGCCCTGTGGCGTAGCGCCAGGAGAAGGTGGGGAAGGAGCGAAGGAAACAGTATTCCCCATTGCGACATCACGCGCGTCTGGTATTTGACGACACCGGTTTACCGATTTACACCGGTTTACACCGGTTTACCGATTTACACCGGTTTACACCGGTTTACCGATTCACACCGGTTTACACCGGTTTACCGATTTACACCGATTTACACCGGTTTACCGATTTACACCGATTTACATCGGTTTACTTGAGAACAGCAGATCACTTGAGAGGTAGGTCACTTGGGAGCGTCTACATTGCGACCGTATAGGGTTTTACCACCTATTCTTGACGAGGTTCACAGAGGTTCATGTCAAGCGCAACCTTTTTCAAGGCTGTTTCTGGAAGAATGTGTTCAATGCCAGACATGCAAAGGACAAAGCCGACATCACAAACATTCCAAAGGTGCAAAAAATACACATGTTTGTGTCCTGAAAAGTGTTCAAAAAGGACACCCGCATTTTCCTGGCATTTTCAGCATCACCATGGTGCCAAACCAAGTGGTGCTCAGTGCAAGCCATCAACCTGTTTGCTGCGCACATGTTTGCATGTAAATCCAGCCGGTGGTTGGTGCCGTTTGAAGCATGTCGCTTTTTGGAAATCTTACTACTGTATATAGATGTCATCTATTTGTCCCACGCTCTAGCCGCAAGTGAGGCTTAAGTGGTTACTCCCTACACTTTGTTGGCCTATCTCGAAGGATAAAAAGGTCTTCCTAAAAAGATGCAATCCAACAATTCCTAACGCACAGACGCATAGACCAGTTTTCCACTTGAGAGATGAGCGTGCAGCTGCCTGCAGCCGCTTGCTCCATTGCTGGAAGCGCTGCTGCTGCTGTAACTGCTGCAGCTGTTGCGTTGAGAGTGCACTTTGCGGTACACAGCAGCTTGGCATAATTTTGCGAAACGCGTGGTGAGTGTGTCGACGGAAATGGTCCATTTGCACGTATACAAGATATAGTATAGTCGCCTTAAACTTAACCGACAAGTATTTTTTGGGTTGAGCAGCTCTCCATCCATGTTCATTCCATCCACCAGAATTTTGAGGGTTGAGGCAACTCGTTGAACGAAGCCCAATTAAACTTCAAGGCCTTGTCAATATCCCTCTTTGGGCGACGTCCGGCTGCGCCCATTACGTTTGCTCAGTCTTGGATCGATCGCGGCAGCTTCTTGGGAGAGGTTCCTGGAGGCCGCCACTGAAAGCTCATTAAGTTTGTGCGTGAAAGAGCGGACAGATTTGATCAGATTTGTATCGCACTCCTATATCTTCCTATTTTCCTATACTTACAGGAGATTCACTGTTTGCCTCTTTGTGCGATCTACATATGGCGGCCCAGTATGGTAGGGTTTGTTATAAGCTTCGAAAGGTTTGTTATGTGCTGCGAAAGGTTTGCCTCCATGGTTTTGTTCTGTCGCAGCTGGTTCCGTGTGATAGCGCTGCGGATCTCTGACAATGACGTGTGTCGTGTGCACCCTTGAGATTGATGATGGAGACATTTTGTTGGACTTAGAATGTGGTCACTCAATGCACCAGGACTGCCTCTCACAAACTGAGAGGATAATGCCCGAAGATTGGAGGGGTTGTGAAAGGATTGTAGGGTTTTTCCTTGATCTAGTCTGGCTCCTGGTTGCCTGCCTTCCGGTGGCTTGTGCAATTGCAAAAACCTCGTTTTCAGATTCCTTCAGGTACCATGCGTCGTCGATCAGAAGTATAGTCGCCTTAAACTTAACCGACTAGTATTTTTTGGGTTGAGCAGCTCCCCATCCATGTTCATTCCATCCACCAGAATTTTGAGGGTTGAGGCAACTCGTTGAACGAAGCCCAATTAAACTTCAAGGCCTTGTCAATATCCCTCTTTGGGCGACGTCCGGCTGCGCCCATTACGTTTGCTCAGTCTTGGATCGATCGCGGCAGCTTCTTGGGAGA